TATTCGGAAACCTTTTCTAGAAATTCTACTCTGTCTGCAATAACAAGAACACTATGTCCCTTGTCCATTTGAGTTAGTGCCGTAGCGGCAATAAAACGTCTATAACTATCATCTTGGGTAAGTTCATTGATCTTTTCAACCCAAGTAGCACCTGGCTTTAGTGTAATACCAGGTTTTAATATCTTTACTTGTGGCGTCATTGTGTTAGATTGAGGAGGTTTAACAACATGACTGCCAAAGTAATCACGAAATACTATGTGTTTTTGGTCTTTTCGCACCATTGTACCACTAAGCGCCACTCGGTAGCGGGCGTGGAAGCTGTCGATAATGGCAGCAAATGTAGTGGCAGGACAGTGATGGGCTTCGTCAAGGATAACACACCCAAATTCTTTAGCTAGTTCTGTAGTGTGCTTGACAAGCGTTTGCACGTTAGATACTGTGATAAAGTGGTCATCGTGGTCAACTCGTCCACCACCAATAACTCCGGGCTTGTGCCCGAATAAGACTTCGATTTCTTCAGCCCACTGATCTCGGAGAGCGGCAGTGTGCGTGATAACCAGAGTTTTTTGACCAAATTTGTGTGCCAGATGTAATGCTGTAAAGGTCTTACCCCATCCAACAAGGGCGTTGACGAATACAGTATCATCAACTTCGTCGTAGACAACCTGCTGTTCTGATCTAAGAGGGTGCTTTGGGTCAGGAAAAGGTACTGGAACCAAAGTTCGTTTGTCAATGATTTCATAGCCTTCGGGAATTAGGTCTTGACGTCCTTGCGGGATACTCAAAATACCCTTGGCCAGTACCTTGTAGTTCTTGATAGTTTCGACTGCTGCAAATTTCTTAGACCCAGTATCTTTTTGAATCTTGTATGTTAGAGCTTTGATAATAGTTTTTGTACTATCTACTCCTGGGTTATCCATATAGATACGATTACTGATTACTGCTTTGGCCATCTGGTCTTTCCGGTCTATTACTACAATATTGGCAGGCATCATCGCTGCAACGATCTTCCCGCCATTCATTGCAGTTAGTACAATAAAAGCTATCGTACTCTAG